TGCCCTCTCCCGGTTTCCTCCCGGGGTCATATCTCTCCCGCATTTCTCCCGATTTCTGACAAAATCAGATTTACTCAGGACTGTTTCCACTCGGACTTTAATACAGCTACACCATTGTCTGGTTTCCATGGTAACACGTCTCTTTAGTAGCGCGCGCAACTCAAAGTCTGAGAGGGTGAGGCAGATAGTCACAGAAAACAGAACACAAATCAACAACTACTCTACTCTCTGCTCACTCCTTTCCTGCCCACACATATGCTCCATCAAGGACAGTGCTACAGGCCGCAAGGCATTGCACTTAGAACTACAATATAAGCATGTTAATGTTAATCTAACAGCTCCGGCAATCCACTAGCAGCCCCCCCCACCCCCCATTTCGCATTTTGAAATGCTCCCGATTTCTGAGGTCTCAAGGTTGGCAAGTATGAGTGCGACACATGGCCAAGACACAGAGACGCGTGGTGACACAACAGTCAGAGTCCGTCTGTGTGAGTTCTTTGGTGTCAGCTTGGTGTGTCCGGGCCTTTAGAGCAGGAGAGAGTAAAGCAACATTATAGTGAGAAATTACTCACACACACACACATGTAAAATGTCCATGTTTCAAGCAAATGTGTGTCAGAAGCACACGACCTAATGGCCTCTTTATGAAGTTGTTTGTTTATGTTGAGAGAAAGCAAATGGTGAGGACCAGCCTCTTTATTTATAGATGATTGAACGTTGTTGTTGACAGCCCTTGTTGATTTCAATGTGTTTGTTGTGATTGATGCCAGGGTAGAAAATAGATTTGATGAAAACGTCGTCTGTTTTCTGAGTTAAAAAGACTCCAAGAATAGTTGTAAGTACTTCCGTTCCTCTGAGCCCTGTATGTTGATGGTGACAGTGTGTGGGGGGGGGGGTGTCAATCTTTACTTAAGTCTGCTGCTTAAACTACAATAATTGACTGAGAGCAGAGCTGAAATCAATGTAGAGCCGTCCGCTGTGGTTACTGTGAACGGCTATGTGTTGCAGGACTGAATGCACAAGTCACTTGGTTTCGAGCATACTCATTTTTGTGAAAGGCCTAATTAAGTTTATTACTAAGTTTATGATGAAGTTAGTATCCAAAATGCACACACTCAGACCCTTAAGGACCACAGCGTCCCCATTGAAATCCAATATATCTACAATGTAATCTTGTTTCTGCTCTATTATGGAACATTGCACTGTTTGATGAAATGCATAAAATGTAAAAAAAACAGTGGCATTATGTGAATTAACATTTTAATGTTTTGGTTAGGACTGATATTGGTTGATAAATATAACTTAGTTAAAGTATAACATAATATCAAAAAAATATATATATGGCAGTTAAGTGACATATTTGTCTTTAAAGCAGGGGTGTCAAACTCAAATACACAGTGGGCGTGTGTGTGTGTGTGTGTGTGTGTGTGTGTGTGTGTGTGTGTGTGTG